TGGTTTTGATTTGCATTTCTCTAATAATTAGGGATGATGAGCATTTTCTCATATGTTTGCTAGCCATTCATCTGTCTTCTTTAGAGAAGGTTCTGTTCATCTCTCTTCCCCACTGATGTATGGGATTGTTGGCTTTATTCATGTGGATTAATTTAAGTTCTGTATACATCCTATACAGAAGGATTTTGTCGGATTCAAAATATGCAAATATCCTTTCCCATTGGATAGGCTATCTATCTGCTTTGGTTGTTGTCTCCTTGGCTGTACATAAGCTTTTCAGTTTAATTAAATCCCATTTGTTTATTTTTGTTGTCGTTGCAATTGCCATGGCAGTCTTCTTCATGAAGTCTTTCCCCAGGCCAGTATCTTCCAGTATTTTTCCTATGCTCTTTGAGGATTTTTATCATTTCATGCCTTAAATTTTAGTCCTTTATCCATCTTGAATCAATTTTTGCAAGTGGAGAAAGGTATGGGTCTAGTTTCAGTCTTTTACATGTGGATATCCAGTTCTCTCAGCACTATTTATTGAATAGGGAGTCTTTCCCCCAGTGTATGTTCTTCTTTGGTTTATCAAAGATTAAGTGCACCCAATTTAAATACTCCCAGACTCTTAAAACAGACCTTGCTTAGTCTGAGCAATATGATATCCTATAAGACCAGGATAACAGGAGATTGTAACACTCCTCTCTCAGAGCTGGACAAATCCCCTAAACAGAAATTAAACAAACATATAAGGGACTTAAATGAGACCCTAGAACAACAGTGCTTGATAGACGTATATAGAACACTCCTTCCCAAAGATAAAGAATATACATTCTTCTCATCGTCCCATGGAACATTCTCCAAAATTGATCATAACTTAGGGCACAAAACAAACATCAAAAGAATTGAATTTTAACCTTGCATCTTCTCAGACCACAAGGCACTAAAAACGAAACTCGACTCCAACAAAAACGTTCAACCTCACACAAAGGCATGGAAGTTAAACAACTTTATGCTGAATGACAGTTGGGTGTAGAAAGAAATAAAAAAGGAAATCATTAACTCCCTTTAGCATAACAACAATGAAGACACAAGCTACCAAAATCTGTGGTATACTGCAAAAGCAGTCTAGAGAGGAAAATTTATTGTTTTAGAAACCTACATTCAAAAAACAGAAAGAGAGCACATCAACAAACTCACAAAACATCTTATGGAATTGGAATAAGAAGAACAATGTAACTCTAAACCCAGCACATGAAAAGAAATATCCAAAATTAAATCAGAGATTAAATTGAAAACAAAAGGATCATTCAGAAAATTAATGAAACAAGGAGTTGGTTTTTTGAAAAAATAAATAAAATAGATAAACATCTGGCCAGACTAACTAGAAAGAAAAGTAAAATCTCTAGTAACCTCAATCAGAAATGATAAAGGGAAAATAACAACTGATGCCACAGAGTTACAAGAGATTATCTCTGAATACTAGCAGAAACTTCATGCCCAGAAATTTGACAATGTGAAGGAAATGGATCAATATTTGTAATCACATCCTCTCCCTAGACTTAGCCCAGATGAAATAGATCTCCCGAAGAGACCAATTTCAAGCACTGACATCAAACATACTATAAAAAATCTCTCAACAAAAAATGCCCTGGTCCAGAAGGCTTCACCAGAATTCTATCAAACCTTCAAAGAAGAGCTTATTCCCATACTGCAGAAATTATTCCAAAAAACTGAGGGGAAATGAATCTTCCCCAAAATGTTCTATGAAGCAAACATCACTCTGATACCAAAAACCAGGAAAAGACCCAACTAAAAAGGAGAATTTCAGACCAATTTCACTAA